TCCATTCTAACCCCTTGTTTTCAGTTATTTGTAACTTTCACAATCCTTCCCCTCTCGGCCTGTCATTTCCCTGCTTTCCCTGAGGGTTCATGGATCACTCACACTGATCAAATACCAACCCAGCAGTTTCTGAGAAGGAGGAGAGGGCAATATATACACTTTGCCCATGATTAACCATTTCCAGAGCCAACCAGGGCAGAGCTAAGGAGGAAATGGGGGGATGCTGAAGAGGTCCATTCTCCCACCTAAGGACCCACACTAGAGGATCTGACTTTTTGTGTTTAGCAATCTACGTTCTGAGTAGCTGCTCTTTGCTTTCTGGGATGATTTCCATCATGTCCAGGTCACCCAGGTGGGCTACACAAGCTTCTCTTTATTCATGAGCAGTTTTTATTTGGCGAAAAATGGAATTCAGAGAACTGGGCGGTGACTCTGCCGCCCCTTGCGCTGAGAGCTAGGAATGAAAATCCCACTGAAGAACGAAGTGTTATTGTCATTGCTTATTGCTAAAGACCAGTGAGACGCATCACAGACTGAGGAGGCTTCTCCTCAGGAGTTCTCCTGGCTCCTTGCTCTTGGGAGCGGGAAAAGTGTTAGAAACATCACCAACGACACAAAATGACACGGAGTCTCAGCAGCACCAAGACAGGCCGATACACACCCTCAAAGGTTCATTGGCAAGGGCGATCTTGTGTCTATGTTTCCTGGGGATGGGAGAACCTGGCTCTGTACCATGCGACTCTGAGTCCCTGCCTTCTGGAAGATTCTGTGCCTGACCCATTAAGTTCAGTTCAGGTCCTAACTGAATTCAGGCATTTGCGGGAGTTCCCCACAATGGAGCGGATCTCACACGCAGGGTCCCATGGCCGACTGGCCACTGGGGGAGGGGAGCCCCTCAGATCCCTTCCCCAGCACCCAGACTGAACCAGATGGGAAATCAAACACAGAGATGACTCGCCAGTTGGGAATATTTAGCCTCTGTTTATCTTTTAAAGTTCATGGATTTTGAAATGGGTGACCAGCCACAGCCCCACGTAACTGACCTCAACCCTGGGAGGGGAAGGGTCTGCGATGAGCAGCACAAAGAGTGAGCAGGAGGTGACGGCGACTATCCCGACCCTGGCTGACAGAACCATGCCTCATCCCCAACACTTTCTTTATTTGCATTAAACACGAGGTGGACACAAAGAGCTTGGGATCGGCACAGAGATCCCTGACCTTGCCCAGAGGCCTCTAGGATCTTCTGCAAACGCCCTGCTGTTTGAACCAGCCAAAATTCTGGAGCTGACCCAGCTTTTACAGCCAAGGCAGATTGAGAGGTTCTGACCATTCCTGAATGAGAGGCCAAAGGCTCCAAAGGGTTTGGCGCTCGGGGGTAGAGTGCGGGGGCAGCAGTCCATTGCCCTGCTTCCGTGCTGAAGTTTTACCCCATTAGAGACTATATTGGTTCTGGGCGGACGCTCAGAGGGGAGGGAGGGTATCTTAATTCTTGGAAGTGTAGGTTTGAGACATAGAACCAAGCTTGTGTGTGAGCCCACGTCCTCCACTGCCGAGATCAGAACAGAGAGAGGCTGGAGCAATGGAGGGAGATGCAGAGTTCTTTCCTTTTAGTGTTTAAGAAGCCGTAAGTGAATTCCCACTGATTACAAATCGCTCCCATTCCTCTAGCCCTCAATGAGAACTTGCTATACAGTGAAATCCCCAGTGAAGACAGTGAGTAGGTGACCAGTCCCCTACATGCAACTGGAAACATTGTGATTGAGAGGAAACATCTTCCCTTCACACCCCGTCTTCTCAACAGAAGGAAGCCCTCGTCAGGACATGGGACATGTTTTCTTTGATAACAAGAGGTTTGTGTCTCACTTCTCCATCTGGCTGTGTCACTGTGAGCAGCGCTGCTATCATACACCTGACAGTAATAATCAGCCTCGTCCTGCGCCTGGACTCCAGTGATGGTTAACGTGGCCGTGTTACCGGAGTTGGAGCCAGAGAATCGATCGGGGATTCCAGAGGGTCTGCTGCTATCACTATATATAACGAGTAGGGGGCGCTGCCAGGTTTCTGTTGGAACCACTGCACACTCTTGCCCCCAATGTTGTTCCCTGTGCAGGTGAGTTGAGCATTTTGCCCTGGAGACACAGACACTGAAGGCGGCTGGGTCAGCACGTACTGAGCGAGCGAACCTGCAAGAGGAAGAGAAAACACATGAATAAAATGACTCAGCATTGACTTTATCCCCAATTAAAATGATTTCAGGCAGCCACGGGAAAAAGCAAATATCATGTAGCACCTGAGCAGTAAGTGAGCAGTGAGAGGAGCAGAGGCGCCCAGGCCATGGTGGGGAATCCAGATGCGCTCGGCTTCCTGAGGCAAACGTGTCTCTGGCTGGAACTGTCCGATTCTCTCTTAAACCCCCAGAGCTGGAGAACAGCCCCTTCATGCAAATCTGGTCCTTGCTTGCTAGCTACTAAAACCTCCTCATTCACCCACACGAGAGGGGCAGAGACACAGGGTAGGGGAAAGATTCTGGGACCAAGTCTTCTCTGCTCTACACTGGTGTAAAACCCAGGTAACTCCACGGAAGTTTACCTTGTTGTGAAAGTGGAGTAAGTGAAAGGAGAATCAGCCGCTTTCTGTAAAAACTCAAATATTTAATGATGTAGAGCCAATACTGATGACCCCAGGCTGCCTGCTGTGTCATCCAGAGCATGAACCTCAAGAGCATAAAAGGATCATTAAACATTGTGGTTAGAAATATCCTATCAGCATTGGCACTGCCCTGGGGAAAGATTATATTCCTGGGGACCATCCACTGCAGTTTCAAAGCTTTGCTCAGATTCTGGTAGGAATCTCCTCTTGTCAAGCTTTGGGAGTGTAACAGTGGATGAGGTGGCTGGCACTGTATAAGCAGAGCAGAATGGGAGCTGGGAAAGCAAAGGGCTCAGTCTGGAGGAGATCATCCTGCACACTGAGAGGGGCTCGCACCATCAGATCCTAGGGCAGAGCTGGAGTCACGGAGGGGACAGGGTAGTTCAGGGGATAGTTTGTGTGTGTTCAGTGTGGACAGGTTTCTGCTCAGGGCTGTTTCTTGGACAGGCACCTGCTCAGTCTGTATCAGCAGGGAGCAAATGTCATCAGAGAATTACCAAGAAAGCATCCCCTTGAGACATCCTCCTGAGAGACTGAAGAAGGACACTTGGAGAGTGTGTATGTCCCATGGGCTCCTCGTATGGGGATGTCTGATGGCACCTGCTCTCCTCCAGTTCCCACCTGCTTCACCTGTCCCTCTCTGCCCACAAGGAAAGAAGGAAAAAGGGGGAACCTGGGAGGTAGCAGGAAAAAAGCATCACTGTTATTATTTTTGTCGCCCCCACATAGTATCCCTCTCCAGCAGCAAGCGGCCAAATGATTCATGACAAACAATGGCCAGTGTCTCCTGTTTGGCCTATTCTAGCTGAAGAGCTCCCTCTACTGGTTAGCGCGACACTTGCAGAAGTGATCTCTTGTCCTAGCTGACAGTTTTACCAACATTTCCTTTTCTAATTCCAGAGCCCCAGACCAGCTTTATTCATGAGCAGTTTTTATTGGGCAGAAAATGGAATTCAGAGAACTGGGCGGTGACTCTGCCGCCCCTTGCGCTGAGAGCTAGGAATGAAAATCCCACTGAAGAACGAAGTGTTATTGTCATTGCTTATTACTAAAGACCAGTGAGATGCATCACAGACTGAGGAGGCTTCTCCTCAGGAGTTCTCCTGGCTCCTTGCTCTTGGGAGCTGGGAAAGTGTTAGAAACATCACCAACGACACAAAATGACACGGAGTCTCAGCAGCACCAAGACAGGCCGATACACACCCTCAAAGGTTCATTGGCAAAGACGATCTTGTCTCTATGTTTCCTGGGGATGGGAGAACCTGGCTCTGTCCCATGCGACTCTGAGTCCCTGCCTTCTGGAAGATTCTGTGCCTGACCCATGAAGTTCAGTTCAGGTCCTAACTGAATTCAGGCATTTGTGGGAGTTCCCCACAATGGAGTGGATCTCACACGCAGGGTCCCATGGCCGACTGGCCACTGGGGGAGGGGAGCCCCTCAGATCCCTTCCCCAGCACCCAGACTGAACCAGATGGGAAATCAAACACAGAGATGACTCGCCAGTTGGGAATATTTAGCCTCTGTTTATCTTTTAAAGTTCATGGATTTTGAAATGGGTGACCAGCCACAGCCCCACGTAACTGACCTCAACCCTGGGAGGGGAAGGGTCTGCGATGAGCAGCACAAAGAGTGAGCAGGAGGTGACGGCGACTATCCCGACCCTGGCTGACAGAACCATGCCTCATCCCCAACACTTTCTTTATTTGCATTAAACACGAGGTGGACACAAAGAGCTGGGGATCGGCGCAGAGATCCCTGACCTTGCCCAGAAGCCTCTAGGATCTTCTGCAAACACCCTGCTCAGCAATTCTGGAGCTGACCCAGCTTTTACTGCCAAGGCAGATTGAGAGGTTCTGACCATTCCTGAATGAGAGGCCAAAGGCTCCAAAGGGTTTGGCGCTCGGGGGTAGAGTGCGGGGGCAGCAGTCCATTGCCCTGCTTCCGTGCTGAAGTTTTACCCCATTAGAGACTATATTGGTTCTGGGCGGACGCTCAGAGGGGAGGGAGGGTATCTTAATTCTTGGAAGTGTAGGTTTGAGACATAGAACCAAGCTTGTGTGTGAGCCCACGTCCTCCACTGCCGAGATCAGAACAGAGAGAGGCTGGAGCAATGGAGGGAGATGCAGAGTTGTTTCCTTTAAGTGTTTAAGAAGCCGTAAGTGAATTCCCACTGATTACAAATCGCTCCCATTCCTCTAGCCCTCAATGAGAACTTGCTGTACAGTGAAATCCCCAGTGAGGACAGTGAGTAGGTGACCAGTTGCCTACATGCAGCTGGAAAATATTGTGATTGAGAGGAAATATCTTCCCTTCACACCCCGTCTCCTCCACAGAAGGAAGCCCTCATCAGGTTACGGGACATGTTTTCTTTGATAACAAGAGGTTTGTGTCTCACTTCTCCATCTGGCTGTGTCACTGTGACCAGCACTACTGTCCCACACCTGACAATAATAATCAGCCTCGTCCTGCGCCTGGACTCCAGTGATGGTTAACGTGGCCGTGTTACCGGAGTTGGAGCCAGAGAATCGATCGGGGATTCCAGAGGGTCTGCTGCTACTACCATATATAACACGTAGCGGGGCGCTGCCAGGTTTCTGTTGGAACCACTGCACACTCTTGCCCCCAATGTTGTTCCCTGTGCAGGTGAGTTGAGCATTTTGCCCTGGAGACACAGACACTGAAGGCGGCTGGGTCAGCACGTACTGGGCGAGCGAACCTGCAAGAGGAAGAGAAAACACATGAATAAAATGACTCAGCATTGACTTTATCCCCAGTTAAAATGATCTGCAGGCAGCCACGGGGAAAAGCAAATATCATGTAGCACCTGAGCAGTAAGTGAGCAGTGAGAGGAGCAGAGGCGCCCAGGCCATGGTGGGGAATCCAGATGCGCTCGGCTTCCTGAGGCAAACGTGTCTCTGGCTGGAACTGTCCGATTCTCTCTTAAACCCCCAGAGCTGGAGAACAGCCCCTTCATGCAAATCTGGTCCTTGCTTGCTAGCTACTAAAACCTCCTCATTCACCCACACGAGAGGGGCAGAGACACAGGGTAGGGGAAAGATTCTGGGACCAAGTCTTCTCTGCTCTACACTGGTGTAAAACCCAGGTAACTCCACGGAAGTTTACCTTGTTGTGAAAGTGGAGTAAGTGAAAGGAGAATCAGCCGCTTTCTGTAAAAACTCAAATATTTAATGATGTAGAGCCAATACTGATGACCCCAGGCTGCCTGCTGTGTCATCCAGAGCATGAACCTCAAGAGCATAAAAGGATCATTAAACATTGTGGTTAGAAATATCCTATCAGCATTGGCACTGCCCTGGGGAAAGATTATATTCCTGGGGACCATCCACTGCAGTTTCAAAGCTTTGCTCAGATTCTGGTAGGAATCTCCTCTTGTCAAGCTTTGGGAGTGTAACAGTGGATGAGGTGGCTGGCACTGTATAAGCAGAGCAGAATGGGAGCTGGGAAAGCAAAGGGCTCAGTCTGGAGGAGATCATCCTGCACACTGAGAGGGGCTCGCACCATCAGATCCTAGGGCAGAGCTGGAGCCACGGAGGGGAGGGCGGGTAGTTCAGGGGATAGTTTGTGTGTGTTCAGTGTGGACAGGTTTCTGCTCAGGGCTGTTTCTTGGACAGGCACCTGCTCAGTCTGTATCAGCAGGGAGCAAATGTCATCAGAGAATTACCAAGAAAGCATCCCCTTGAGATACCCTCCTGAGAGACTGAAGAAGGACACTTGGAGAGCATGTATGTCCCATGGGCTCCTCGTATGGGGATGTCTGATGGCACCTGCTCTCCTCCAGTTCCCACCTGCTTCACCTGTCCCTCTCTGCCCACAAGGAAAGAAGGAAAAAGGGGGAACCTGGGAGGTAGCAGGAAAAAAGCATCACTGTTATTATTTTTGTCGCCCTCCCATAGTATCCCTCCCCAGCAGCAAGCGGCCAAATGATTCATGACAAACAATGGCCAGTGTCTCCTGTTTGGCCTATTCTAGCTGAAGAGCTCCCTCTACTGGTCAGCGCTACACTTGCAGAAGTGATCTCTTGCCTGAACTAAATGTTTTACCAACATTTCCTATTCGAATTCCAGCTCCCCAGACCAGCTCGGGACTTTGGTTCCTATTCCCCAGCCCAGATTTGCTTCCTGGCCGAATTTTTAAAGTCACAAGAAGTTGCTCTACTTCTTAGTAACCTTTGCCTTAGCCCAGCCATTCCTGCTGACCTCCAAACGCTGCAGTCGGCCCTGGGCACCTCAGACAGCCCATAGGGATGCGAAGCTGGGAGGGGAGTTAGAAATAAGGTGGGGACTGCTGGGGAAAGCTGGAAGCAGTAGGAAGCTGACTCACAGAGGCCAAATGCGGAGTTGTAGCCCCAGGGTCATGGAGCACTGCTCAGCTCCCCTGGGTCCCTTAACCCTTTGTTCCCCATGGCTGCTAGTACGGCATGCAGGCTTCTGGCACCCACTGCAGGTGACGTGGGCCAGTGCCATGAAGCATACAGCCAGCTCCTAGAGTTCAAAAATTCTGAGTCAGGCTGCTGAAAATAATGAAATGAATAAATATACACACGGGGGCACCATTATCTGTGTCTTTGAGTGTTTGAGCCTTTCAGGCATGCTAGGGTCACTTTGTCAATCCAAGGGCTAGAAACTTCCTTACATAGTCACTGAAAGCCGAGGTTTTCATGGAATCACTCGACTCTAGAATCTGGGGCTTTCAGCAAAAGAGCCTAATTAGTGCTGGGCTCACTATAAAACCGCAAGAGATGGTGCTGAATCTGACCCTGGTGAAGGGCAATGAAGATGGGAAATTAAAGGTTGAATTTGGCCCCTGTTCAATGGGAAACAAGTGCAGAGAGCGGTGCCCGGGAATGATGGACTCTCGGACACCTGGGGTGCTGAGTAATTGGGCTGGATTTCCCCAATCTCCCTGGCTGCTCTGTCAGCATCTCTTTTGTCAGCTCCTCCTCCTTTCCCACTTCCCTTCTCTGTGGGAGTCCCACAAGGCTCCCTCCTTGTCCTCTCCTTTACTTTCTCTCAGTCTTATCCTTCAGTATCTCCATCTGCTCACCTGGGGTCAGTCTCACCCCTGTGCTGACAACTCCCCAATACACTTCTCCACTCCGGCCCTGCTGCTCATTCTCCCATCTGGTGTGGTCTCCCCGGTATCCCGCCCTTCGATGGCTCTTCTGGTGTCAAGTTCACATTGGCCAAAACTGAGCTCAGAAATCTTCCCTGCCAACCCCTCTCAGCCACTGATGCCAGCCTGTTTAGCTCTTGGTTTCCTTATCTGTGGTGCCTCATGCCCCATTCCCCTCTATACCCATCCACCCCTCTGCCGCCGATGTGTTTCTGCAGCAGAAATCTCAGGGCCTGACTCCATTGTCTTTGTTGGAGGCCTTGGGGAAGATCTGAGAAGGAATTAAATTGTGCTGACACTTACGGCTGTGATAGGAGTGTTGTCTCTTGCTCCCCACTCTGACAGCAGAGGGGATGCTGGCTCTTAGGGAGAAGAAAGGGATAATCCCCATCCTGCACATGGAGAATGAGGCGGGAGCTGGAAATAGCTCTGTGGACTGAATTTCCTGCTCATAACCAGCTGTGTGATTTGTCCCAGCCAGAGACAAAACTGCAACTGGTGAACTTTGCGCACAGGGCCCAGGCCAGGGGAGAGGCGGGAAGGGTGTTTTTGTCTCACTTCCCCGTCTGTCCGTGGCACTGTGTGGAACAGCACCGCCATTCTTCCGCACCGCACCGTAATAATCAGCCTCATCCCCTGCCAGGGCCCCGGAGATGGTCAGATAGCCGGCGGTCCTGGCCGTGTCTTTGGAACCGGAGAAGCGAGCGGGGACCCCAGAGCCCTGGTCCTTGCTGGAATCCGTATAGTAATACAGCAGGGATCGTGGAGAATTCCCAGGTTTCTGCTGGTACCAGGACACAGCGTAGCCACTGATGCTGGTCCCACTGCTCATGGTGCAGGAGAGTTTGACGGTGTTTCCTGGGGACACTGACGCTGAGGGCAGCTGAGTCACCACAGGCTGCGAGCTGGTACCTGGAAAATATGGTGGAAATTTATCAACCCCTCCCTGTCCGTGCCCAGCCGCTAGTGAATCTGGTTGTGTCTTAGCTTCAGCAGCAACTTATTTAACCCCGTCCCCTCTGTTCTCACCTGTGGACCACGTTCCTAGTAGGATGATGAGGGGAGCCCAGAGCATGGTGAGGAGATTTCGGGCCCTTAGGAGAAAACAACCAGATCCACTGAGAAGGCCTGACAGTCTCTGCCCCTTATATTGATCCTACTGGGGAAGCAGGATCTGAGCTCCACCTTTATTCTAGTTTCTTCTTATCTGATTGGGTCCTATGATCACAGAGACCTGGGCACGGGAGGAGAGACCATCCCTTAGGGAGGAGTTCCTGCTCTATAAGGTGACTAGCTCAGCTCCACTCCAGCAATGACCGTCTGCCAGGATCCAGGTTTCATTCAAACGCTCGCAGTGGAGGCTGCTGGAGTTCAGACTGTGTGACAGTTTCCATTCTAACCCCTTGTTTTCAGTTATTTGTAACTTTCCCAGTCCTTCCCCCTTCAGCCTGTCATTTCCCTGCTTCAAGATTAGGAGGGGGATGTACTGCTCTTTTCGGGACACTCATCTGAGAGGCGGCAGATCCCTGTGCAGATCCCTTCTCTTCTTCAGGCAGAGAGAAGAAACGGAACCAGGCTCTATCTTGGGTGAACACCCAAACTATAACGTGTTATGGGGGAGGCTGTCTCCTCCCCAGTCGCTGGGTGTGAAGTTAGGTGGCCTCTGAGCATGCCCACCAGATCAAGTCCCACAGGCAAGGTAGGCAGGGCAGTTTGAGAATCGTGCTGGGGCTTAGGCATGAGTTAGGGCTCGGGTGCGAGGAAGCAGCACATGTGCTCAGAGGCAGAAACACAGGTGCCCAGGGACCTTTTAGAGCAAAAACGTAGCTGCCTAGTGAGTTTAGGCGCCTACAGGGTTGGGCAGCAGCTGAGCAGGGATTTTGTGGATCGCAGTGCTGCCTACAACTGGACCGTAGGCACCTGCATCCCGTTGTGGATCTGGCTTGGTGCGGACGGAGTGTGCCCCTGAAGTGTGGGTTGTGGGCCTGTGGCAGGGATGGAGCACACTCATTCTCAGTTCGCTCCCCAGCTCAGCACGGCATGTCTGCTGCATCAGTGCTGTCTGGACCACCACCTAAACCTCCCCTGGAGTCCTCTTTGTAACAACAGGGCGGGGGAAAGGGGAGGCTCTGGTCACCAAATGACCCGCAAATTGTACCCCAGACGCTATTCCGGGTCTTTCAGAGCACACTAAGATTAAACACAGGTCATTGGCCAGGAGGGGAAGAAGGGAGCTGTACCGCAGGAGCCCTCCGACCATGACCCCAGCTGGTACCCAAGGCCGTCTCCCAGCATACCAACTTCCAAGCCAATCTGACTCTGTCTGGGAACTGTGGAGCACTTTGAAAGTTGACTTTTAAACAGAAAAGCTCCTGCAGCCTTTGCGTGTCTCGCGTGCCTGCTGGCATTCCATGTCTTGCTCACAGCAGCACCACTTCGAACAACCAAAGTAAAAGTCTAACGACTCTTGGATTTTTGGGGTTCGGGGCTGGGTGTTGCTCAGGTCAAGGGGAGGCTAGTGAGATACGATCTATGTGAATGCTGCTCATTTCCCCCCTAGCTTTGTGCAAAAGAAAAGTGATTTCCTCCCATCCCAAGAACAAGCGTGAGATATCGATCGGCTGTGGTGTGTCAGTAACTTAAGTGCCTGCTGTCATTGCTCGGCCTGCTCCCATTACCTACAGCGTGAGCCGTTGGGAGGGCAAAGAGCAGAAACACTCAGACGCGGTCACACTTCAAAGGTGATACGACAGTCTAGGAGGTA